ACAGGAAAAAAAAAAAAAAAAAAAAAAAAAAAAAAAAAAAAAAAAAAAAAAAAAAAAAAAAAAAAAAAAAAAATAATTAAAAAAAAAAAAAGTTCAATAAAAACAGACAAAAGCACTGGTTTAAACATTTTACTATATCAGTCTGTAGCGAATTGTCATTACATACCCTGAAATAAGGGAGGAAGAAAGCTTTAAATGGTGCAAAAACCACTGAATAACTTGGCTGGAGAGCAGAGGGGAGGTTGATGCCTAACTCTCTCTAAACTCCCAGAGGGGGTACCTTCAAGAGGAGGCTGCTTTGCCTTGTAATGCTGAGTTTCATCACGTTTTGGGCCAATCACTCACATCGGATGCATAGAGGCATGGCGAGGACCCGGGTCCTCTTGAAATCTCCTATTAGGTTTTTAAATCTTTCACCAATGTAACCTTTTGGGGTGGCAGCCGACTAAAGATTAATGCCACCGCTTCATGTGCAGGAGAGCAGAAAGACCACTCAAAGTGCCGTGAGGGAGTCATACATACCGAGGGGGGCGGGGGATCTGTGCAACTGTGGGAACAGGAAGGCAGTTTGTGTCGTTTTGATTCAGGATTGCAAAAGTCCCAAACTAATGCGCTCGGAGCGTTGTTTCAGCTAATGAATGCCTCTTCTTTTTATGAACTTGTCGAATAATTCCAGCATCAACTTCTCTAATGAAATAATCCTTCGCCTATGACTGGGCATGGGCCGGTTTCATGGTAAAAAGATTAACAGCGGCTTACTTTGGGAACTGAAGTAGCTCCAGCAATCACTCTTCTAAAGTAACGCCGTTTTAAAACTGCAGCTGGAGAGCCGTAAAGCAGACGACTGCAGGCTAGGTACCAGCACGGATAGTCCAAGTAGATAGGTGTCAGATACTGTGCAATAATAAAACTTGGTGGGTGTTTATATTTTTATTCCAAGTCTACTGATCAAAATCGGAATAATAAATAAATATTAAATACGCTAGTATAACTGCAATAATCAATTTGTGATCATATTTTTGTGGCAGTAAGAATCATTGTTGGTGTAAAACCTTGAACATGTTTCTATATTTTTGTCTGAAAGTTTTCTGGAAATATTTTTGATACCCTGAAGCCGTAACATATTTTAATTTTTTTTTCCACAGAATCTCGTACCGGCCCATGCCTTTACAAACTTTCAGCCTCTTTCTGGTGTCTCACTTAAATTGCATTCATTTTTTTCTTTTTTTGTATTTTGCTTCGCTTCACCCAACGAATCTTATGTCAACATATCAGTGCCATTTGAATGCTGCATCGTTGAGGACAAAACACATTCTAATGTAAAAATGAAAGCCCCACATTAAAAAAAAAAAAAAATCTTTTTTTTTTTTTTTTTTACAAAATGTCTTTTTTTTTTGTCCCACAGACATAGAGGTCCCTATGGGGCTTTGGATAACTCAGAATTGGTTTAAAATCTGGAACAATTTTACTATGAAAACAAGGGGATGAGGGGAGAGGAAGGGAGAGAATCTTCTGCTGGTGTGATTTGCACACATACAAAAAAAAAAAAAAAAACCAACAAAATAAAACACGCGCCAATTAAATCTGCACCCAATAATGTCCACTCTCGCTCTACTGTGTGCATGCAAAAAAAACACTCTTGTCACTATTACTCACACTCGCACTCATCCACTCTCACACAGGAGGGACAGCAGTCACTAAGCGTGCAAATGAAGTTGCACTCCACGTCTGAAAGCGTCTCTTTCTGAGAAAGGTCTTGGTTTATATATATATATATATACACACATACATATATATATATATATACACACACGTGTCTCGATGATGGAAAGCACACCTCGCCACCAGTGTGTGACCCCCTCACAGTGGATATGTAACCTGTGGATCACTCTGTCCTCCTCCTAGGTAGATTTAACGGAGTTGTGCACAGGCTAGCTCGACAGGAGGGAGGGAATGGGGGAGCTGTCCGTGACGGATGTTAAATAAGGGGAATAAAAAGTTTTTTTTCCCCCCTCCTAAAGCTGAGAAACAGAACGTGGAATCTTCACGCTGAAGTTTTCCTTGGGCACTACATGAGCAAGGGTTTGCCTCTTAAACAAGAATGAACACTATGACTATCATTAAAAAAAAAAAAAAAAAAACTTCAAACAGTTAGCATAGCCTATCGGTGTTCTTTATCAGCTGGTCTGTTGATGGTTTCACCGTGAATTTTCAGCTGAAGAATTTAGCAAGTAAAAAGGGGAAAAAGGGAAAAAAAAAAAAAAAAAACAACACACACACAGATGACCTACTATAGCCCTCCCCCGCCCCACACGCACCATCCTCCTCTCTCAACAACAAGTTCCCCCACCCATGTCCATAGAGACATTAGAGAGTCTGAGACAAACGGGCAGACGGCTGTAGTCCGGCAAGGAGAGGGGCTGGTCCGCCCCGTCCGTCTGGAGGCATCGCGAGGATGCAGCGGGCCCCAGGCTCAGGGTGGAAGTGGATTTCCTCAGATACTTGCAAAGAGCTGGCATGTCTACTGACACCGGAGCAAAATGGAGGACGAGGGGGGGGGGTCAGTTAGAAGTGAGGAGAACAGCTGTTACAGTTCATCAGAGGAAGATCCTGCTGAATTCTGACTGACTTTCCAGGCCTTTAGAAAAGGGATCCAAATTTTTTTTTTTTGTGTGGATGCGGACCCAAAATTCCAGGGAGTCTGTCGTCATGTCCACCATTTGTCTAGGCCGGTTCTGGAGCCATATTTTTCTTGCTTTTTGTTTTCTCAGATGGGTCGGTGACATTTGTTGGGTTTTTCTTCGCTTTCTCTCTGGTGATATCAAATTGTATTTGCCCATTTACGTTTTGTTACACTGTAGGATTCTTGGGTTGTTGTCAAATTGAGACGTCATCTGCTCGGTAGGTCACCATCAACTGTCCATGTTACTGCTGTTTTCTGAGGAGACGAAAAGCAAGCAGACATGCAACTCGTCATTATGGGTTGCGAGAACAGCTCCCGTTTGAACGTCATCCTCTTACCGTTGAGTCCGTCTGCCTCTTGCGAATCGAGAAATGGAGCGGGACCCCAGATGCGCACTGTGCCGTCGTCCGAGGCGGACGCCATGAGGCCCGGGATGGCTGGGTTCCAGCTCACACAGTTAACGGTGCGTGTATGGCCTGTGAGCTCGGCAATAGGAAGTTCGCCACGCCTATGCCAGATGTACACTTTATGGTCTGGCGGGATTGACGACAAAGGTAGTGCACAGATGGAAGAAAATAGATTTAGAACAGGGGAAAGAAATGCCACCGCTCCGAGCGACGACGATAATCAAAGAGACAAAAGATTACATGTCGTCTTCAAATTTGAAGTCTTACCGCAATTTCTCGAAAGAATCTTTTGCATTTTGTCAAATTTTAACCACCACATTTCGAATTGCATTTGAACAGATATTGAATTTTAGAAATTCACGTTTTTTTTGTGATGAATCTGAATCATAGTAGTAAATAATTATGAAGTTGAAGGAAAATTATGCTTTTTTGTTCTTTTTCTTTCCAACAAATCTTTGAGTTATTAAAAGACTGATTTTTTTTTCTCCATAACAGAATACACCTTGATCAAAATCAGCTCATTAAAGCTCTGGCAGTCTTTGTCTCACTCGGAATCTATAAACTTTTCTTCAAAGGCTTTCTTCCAGGATTACTCTGGATTTTGCTTTATTTGTCTTTCTTACAATTTAAACCAGCTTTCCTCTCCCTGCTGAAGAGAGGCATCCCCACACCATGACGCTGCCACTATCATGTTTCACAGTTGGCAAGATGTGCTAATTTCCCAACAAATACTTCTATAAATAATTTTTTTTGTTGTTGTTTTAGAGAATGAATGTAGAAAAAAATAGATGTTCTGCCCAAGAGTTGTTGGTTCAGAAAAGGCTAATGAAAAAAAAAAAAAAAACACCTTGGTAGGAGATGCTTTCCCACATTAGGGTAAATAAATTTAGTTATACTGTGAACTATTTCCTGTCAATGGCCTTCAGCTGCCTTTTAACTGTACCTTCGCTGCCACTGGCGATGAAGTCTTCGTTGTGTCCTCCAAAGCAGGAGTGGATGGTGTAGAAGCCCTGGGTCACACCTTGGTACTTCCTCACAAGCACCCGATCTTGAAGATCCCACAGGTGCACTCCCTATGTTGAAACCAGTTTCAATTCAAAATTCTACTTAATTTAAAAATACTTTATTAATCCCCAAATCTATTATATTTCTCCAATATTTATTTAGTCTATTAAATAAGTCTATTTATTTGTTTGCAAGCACCTCGATAGAACTGATGAGCTTACCTGAGTTGCTACATTTAACAAAGCTAATCTACCGTTCTTTGAAACGGTAAAAGACATGATAGGGTGGTCCTCTTGAACTCTGTAAAAACAAAAACAAAACAAAACAAAAAAAAAACGTGAAAATAAATGAGCTATCTGCTATTAAAATGAATTACATTAAGTCACATCTTTCATTCTCATTTCAAAATATACATACATGTTTCTGTCTGTGAGGTCCTCAAAGTTGTACCCTCTGATACGCTGATGGGTGTCCGAGGCCAGCACAGTCTTCCCATCGCTCAGGCACCACAGGCACTGAACTCTCACCCCCTCCCACGAGTCCAACAAGTTCCCGTCCAGGTCCTGACAACGCAAACCCAGTCAAACATCAGAAGAAGAATGAGCACAAATGCTAATGTCTAAGTATGTAAAACCAGTCAAGAAACACTAAAAGACCTACAGTTGAAATTGCAGCAAAAGGTAGTTTTATAAAGTTTTTAAATCAGAACTAAATACAAATAAGCACCACGCTTCAGGTCTATATGTCATAATATCCTTCCACTTCACAAACATGCACTATTTTGTGTTTGTGGCTCACATGGCAATAAAACACTACGATGTTTGTGAATGTGGCAAAATGGGGAAAAAAAAAAAAAAGAAAGAAAATAATTGTGTTTGAAAAAGTTGGTAAATGACCGGAGGACTTACACACTGATAAAACTGCCCCCTTTGTCCACCGGTGACAAAGCGTTTGCCGTCAGGATTCCAGGCCACACTGGTAAGACTGTCTTCGTGGGACTGGGACATCTTGGTCCGCAGCTCCCCCGTCTGGCAAAGGAGGGTATTTATAGAGAAACATGGAGAAGGAAATGGGGGAAGGGAGAGAGAGCGAGAAGACACATTGAGCAAGAGAGGGGGAGGGATGAGTAAGAAAAAAAAAAAGAGAGAGAGAGACGGGAGGGGAGAAGAGAGGATGGGTGAAAAGAAAAGGTCATTGAGTACAAACGGCACACTACAGGATATCCATAGCACTTTCAGACTTGGGATACGATTAATGGTGCTTAGATAACCACGTCATACCGAGGATGGCTATGAGGAGACACACTTACCGCGTGTCAAGCTGAATGATACAGAAACAGTGATATAATGTATGAGATCAGAGTATCCCAAATAACACCAACAGCATATAAATAAATTCTGACAGCTGAAGCATCTTCTAAATGTGTAGAAGAAAATATCTCTGTATGACTACGTTCATTAATTGAGGTATGAAGCCAACAGCCTGTGCCAACAGCAAAGGCTCAATTTGTTGTCTGAATGGTGTTGAAAAGAATATTTAAGGATACTTTTTAATTTCCTTCTTCCTTTTTATTCTACCTGGACATTCCAGAGCCAGAGCTCAGAGCAATCGTCAGGTCCACAGGCGATCAGGTAGGTGTCGTCAGGACTCCAGGCTAAGTAGGAGACGCCGTATGCGTGCCCTTCCAGGGTTCGCAGCAGCTTCAGTTGGTGGCTCTCCTACGTGGCAGGCACAAATGAAACAATACTTGAATAAGAGACTTTATAATGGCATTTTTAACTTTATTTCATTCAGATTTACCTTTCATCAGACTACTTTTTAGAACATTAAATAAACTCACTTTTCTGTAAGAGTTTCTCTCCTGGTTTAGTGAGAAACTCTGTTAAACATGATTAATCTCATGCAACAGTAGCAAGACAAAACACTTGAGAGCATACAAGGAGAACTAGATCCAGGTTGCCAATCCCTGGTGTTTCAAATAGATTTTCAGCTGAACGTTTGCAGAAAGGACAACATTAAAGCCGTTCCAGTGCTTTAATCTTGAGCTAATTCTTAACCGGTTCTATTAAAGAACCTGTTTTGTTTTCCATAATCTCTGAGCTAATTTCAACCCATGCCATTGTGTTCTCATCCAGTAAATGTTTGATCTTCTCTCCGTTTCCATTTGAGGAGGATCGTGTTGCACAGAGACGGCTTAAATACACCAGTCGCATTATTTATCTCAGCAACTCGGCAAACAAAAATTCTACCATCACCTGAGTTTCTTAACACCTTAGGGACAAAGCTCTGTTTTCTTGCTAGTTTCTGTCTTAAATTATATTTGCTTTTGCAATAGTAGATCATGTTGCAACAGCACATTTTAAATTCCACTCGTTATATTTTAACAGATGAGCACACACCGTCTCTTGATCATTTGAAAGTATATATTTTTTCTAGTTTAGACCTAAAAAGAGACTGTAACTACTACAATCTACCAACAGACTGCAGTCGAATGAGTAAGGCGTGTATGTTTGCACACTCACCGGGTCCACTTGCCAGATTATGACAGTCGTGTCTTTGGAGCCAGTCGCTAGTTTGGTGCCATCGTTTGAGAATTTGCAGAACCACACTTCATTACAATGCTCTGTCAGAATCTGCTGGGTGTAACAGGGAAACTGTTTCCTGCAGAAAGAAAACAGATTGATTTTTAAAAGTCTACAAAACCCACCGGTGAATGAGTTTTGAAAATTCTACAACAGAATACAAACTGGCCCTCAAAATGTGGCGTTTGTAGTATTTTCAGATGTACAGAGAGAACTGAAATTTGAGAATGCATAAGAGTCTATGTGATGTTCGTCCTGCATAATTTAGCTAAAAAAACAACAACAAAAAAACAAAAAACAACATAAATGTGGTGGGAGGAATATTGCATTTCTGTGGATCCTTGAGCAAATACTTTATTAAAGCACATTTACATCCAGTTTCAGTTTTCAGGTTTTGCCAACTTTATCTATGAGATTGGCCACTTCAAACAATACATGTTCCTCTCATGAAGAAATTATTTGTTGATTTGGATGTGAAAAAAAAAAGCTTTCCTAAATATAATGGAACATGAAAGTACATTAACTAAAGAAAAGGAGGGGAGACATATACGCCACATGTAAATAACTTAAATTATAATGAAACTAGTACAAAGGAACGCACAAATGCTTTACCACTTGAAGCAAAATCACTTGTAATTTTCAGTTTATTGTGGTGCTGATAAAATAAAATCCCGTTTTGTAGCTGACCGCTATTTGGGACTATTGGTCACTTCCTCCACTGACAAAAACCACATTGCTTCCTATGTTAACGCAGCCTACGCCTGTCACAATACAGCAATTAATTGCACGATAAATCAAAATGAACTTGATCAATTCCATTCCGGTTCATTTTGTTCAACGACACATCATAATCCATTTTACTTATGGGTTTGGTTGTGTGTGGATTTTATTTTCGTTTATCGTTTTTGGTTGTATTGTTTTATTTGGGATGTTTAAAATATCTTCCAGTTCTAAGTGTTCTTCATAAAATTAAAGTTTATTGGTCTTTAAGAGAGCAAGCGTTTGTTCTTATGCCATTATCAATATATTACTTGGAAAACAGTCTCAAAAGAACAATGTTATTGTTTATCGCAATAAATTCTAGGACAATTTTTTGTCCAGTAAAAATTGTTATTGTGACAGGCCAACATAGCGAATGATACCCGGGCTAATTAACCAGCTAATATGTAATATAAGTGGTAATATTTATCTATTTGTTGTTTTAAAAAATCTTCAAGACCACTTACTGTTTTAGATGTGACTACTTAAAATTTATCTCACCATCTGTGTGACTAAAGTAGAATTTATTTTTTCCGTTGACCGAATATATTAAAGCTCAGTTGATTATGTTGACAGCCTCAACAGGCAGTAATGAGGGGAAAACCAACATCATGCTTCCCGCTTGTGTCCAGCCCTCCTCAAACCATTTTCTTTTTTACCAACCTGCTGCAGACATGATCGAGGAGAAGGGAGACTGAATCCAGGTTGTTGTCCAGCTTGGTGTTGTGATAAAGACAGCGATCCCTCTGCAGTTCCACCGCTTGCCGCAGCAAAGTGTGTAGTCGCCGAGGAGGCAGCATCACGGATGGGGGCAGGTACGCTGCAACATGGTCAGAAAGCGGGAAGATAGTTCGCCTCAGCACATCAAACGTACGTGTGGAAGCTGGGCAACATGTGCTAGCTCCACAGGCTGATTAAACGGAAAGCATCTCCTCACTCTGTAATTTATCCAGGAGCCTGGAGCGAGAGGCTGTGCCCTTGCCCTCCCACTCTGCCTTGGCTCGGAGGTCGTCGGCATGGCTACACATTAGGTACCTGCAAGAAAATACGAAGTCAAGGTTTAGGGAAAACAAGATTCACTGTTGGTAAAAATCAGAAAAACTAACATGATTCATCGCACAACCCAAACTATATTAGATGCAACATTTCTTGTATAATTTCTCATTTAACCTACAACGCTGGTCACAGTAAATCAAAACGACAATTATTCTTTTTGCACAACACGCCCATGCTGTATTATGTGTACCGTATATCATTCTTGTCTGGAGGCGGACAGCAAATAATAAGGAAAAACTAACCAAAAATGCCTAGAAATCTGAATATTTTTTTAATTAAAACAACATTTTAACGTACAGTCAATGAAAATGCCTGGACAAATCTAATTTAATAGTCAGTCATGACAAGGGGCAGCGCTAGTCATTTGGGCTCCCTAAGCTACGAACAACACAGAAAAAGAAGTAAGGTGGACAGGAGGTGAAGCGAGACTCCATACGGCACGCGATTATCACGTCGCTGTTCTTTTCCTCTTTTCCACCCACATCTCTTAATGCCTTTTGAGGGCATATTCAGACTGCCTGCTGGACTTGAGATTGTGGCATCTTTTTTTTTTTTTTTTCTTGACCAAATGTTGTCTTTGCACGAATTGTACCTTGCTTCACACATTTTTTAATATATCATAATTACTGTAAGTGTGACGAGTTTCCAAGAGCCTGATCATTTGGTGCCCTGTGCACCATGTCAATCTTGCATGTCAATCTTGAAGACACAACATTATGTATAGTCTCATATCAGGAGCTGGGTTTATTGTTATACCCATATTATTCACTGTGTTAATTGGGGTAGAAGCAACCTGTTGACTTAAGAGCAGCATACTGCTAGCAGGCGTATTACAGGGTCACACTGGTTTCTGAATGAAACATACATTTAAATATCACTGACTGTATTGTCATAGAGACTTGTGTAGTTCGTTTTACAACATTCTTTAACATGAGCACTGCTTATTTTCTGAAATCATGAGAAAGTAATGACGATGCCCTCAGCCAATGAATACACATGAGCCGGTTGGAACCAACCGCAGCCCTTGGAGACATTTGTTGTGATTTAAAGTTGATCCCAGAAATGTCCCAGATGAGGCTTTCTGCTACATCCCAGTAAAAATACAAGGCTGGCCCATTCTTAGCAACAACAAGCTTGTCTGACCGACACTTAAAATAACTGTAAAAACTCAGACAGCAAGCAAGACATGAATAATAACCTACAAACATAAGAAAGGTTGACAACTGGCACATTGGCAAAATACAAAACAGAGTAAAAAGTCCTAAAAAGGCAAAGTGATACTGTCGCCAAACTCATCACAGCAGGTAACAGATTAAAGCAGTAATTCTTTAACTTTAAAACCAAAATGACACTTATACAAACAGTATTAAAAACTAACAAGCCCCTAATACACAAATAAAGCAAATCAGGTCTTAGTTTACTTGTCTCACTTAATGAAAATAAAAGAACAGCTAGGTCCTTTGATGTCTTTTTAATTCCTCCACAACACCAAGCTAACATCTCATCTTTTAAGACTCCTTGCAACAACTGACTACAAATTCGACCTAATCTAATCTTATATTTTGCCACAGTTTCAGCTTTTAGTTGCTTGCTTTCTACAGAAACACTGCCCAAGTAGCCAGCGGCAGTTTTTGTCCATTCAGTTTTTTAAGTAGCTTCTCTTTGAAGTTAATACTAAGTGTTTGAACTTCTCATCTTGTAGGCTATCTCTGCTTTTCATCTTTTCATCAAAGCTCAGCTGATGATAGTTTATTTCATCTGCAAATGTACCGTATTTTCCGCACTATAAGGCACACCGGATTATAAGGCACATCTTCAATGAATGGCCTATTTTAAAACTATTTTCATACATAAGGCGCATAGAATCGACACTACAGTTAGGGTTGCCACCCGTCCCATATTGAACCTAAACAGGACGCGATTTGTTCCGTACTCTACAAATGTGGATGTGTAATAACAAAGAAGTGGTCCCCGAGTACTTTATATAGTAGGCTGCCCCAGTCATTGTTTCATTCACGGTGTTGGTGTTGCAATATTGTGCCCAACTGCTTTTTGGGTAACACAGACCAAACGACACGCTGCCGCCGCAGTCTCCGTCTCTCTTCCCCCACACCCTCCCGGCTTTAAATGTATAGGGGCTGGTCCCTTGGTAACCCTAGTTGAAGCACCCCGGATGAATGTCTAAAGCCACTTTGTTGACATAAAGAATGTCAACAAAACAGTCCGACTCCGGTCGGCGAGGAGAGCCTTCCGCGACTGGGCCGGGGCGTGGCCGGACGATGGTCACCCTTCTCCGTTCGCTCACAGCATGTTTGTGGAGAACGTGGTACTAAATGACCTGCAGACGACCTGATTCTAGACGGTCGGTGGTAGATAGGTCAGTCAAACTTTATTAACAAACCAGCGTTCTGACAACTATCCCAGCATGCACCACGCGCTTCTTCTTGGGCGAAAATGAAGTCGGCGGCTGCTTACCGTAGTTGCTAGACCTGTTGTGGCTCAATATTGGTCCATGTATAAGGCGCACCTGATTATAAGGCGCACTGTCGGCTTTTGAGGAAATTGAAGGTTTTTATGTGCACCTTATAGTGCGGAAAATACGGTATATCAAAATTCAAAGTACCACAAGCTGTGTTGTGATGAATAAAAGAACAAACAATAAAAAAAAGAGCATGTTATAAGGTAAATATCATTTAAGAACTTAACTGCCAAAATTGTGCATTTTTACAAAAGCACATGTGTGGAGCTGTTTAAATTTAGTACTTTGAGTGAATCATTTGTGAAACCGGTGAAACATCAGAAAGTACCCGCTGAGGACGTGGATCCGGTCCGTGTTGTACTTGAGCGGCGTCAGCTCTCCCCGGAGAACCTGCAGAGCCTCCAGGACCTTGCCGTCCTCCAGATACTCTAGGTACTTCTGTTGCAACAACAGGAACTTCATACGCTGAGGAGGAGAAGTAGTCAACAATAAAACAATGGATAAAAGAAAAAAAAAACTTGGCTTTATGAGGTTATAGCATTAAAACGATTAAAGAAATCATTAATGAATGCATCTCTAAAATACTTAAAAGTACCACACATGGAGTACTGACAGCTGTAATTTATCAGCACAATCTTTAATCTTTGCCCTGAAAACACCAAAAAAAAAAAAAGCATGGGAATGAATCAACTTTAAGCCAAAAAGAGATTTCTCCCTGCGTTTTAAAGGTGTTGTGCTGCAGCTAAGCACTCAAAGGTAAACGATATCTATAAACCCTCATGGTGAGTTGAATATTCTATTATCTGATACTGTACTGGAAACTGTATAAAGGGAGTGGAGGAGCAGCTTCAGTCTAAGGATGCATGACCACATCTCCCACATGCTGTGTTGAATAAAGCTCCCCTACTTTGAAAAGATCCCCTGTTAAGGAAGCACACAGTGGAAGGCAGAAGCTGTTTTAAGATTCTGTTTACATGTTTGAAGTTATGATTCTGCCTATAAAGACCCAGGCAGCAACCAAAAAAACAAAAAAACAACAAAAAACAGAAATGCCTATCTTTTTCCATGTGATTTACTAAGAAAAAAAAATAAAATATGCACATATCTGAACAAAGTAATGCATTTTATAATCTATAAATGAAGGAAAATTTAAGTACTTGATAGTCTGACTTGGATGTAAATGAGATGCTTTTATTTTTTTAAGATCACCCATTCACCCACTATTCTAATTGGGACGTTCTGGGACACATGAATCTGCATCAGTTTGTCACTAAACACAACCGCCCTGGGACACATTGAAGGAGAACCCACAGACATGACCTCATGACCCCTATAAAACTCAACATGAGGGTTATTTTTAATAACCAGAGATAATAAATTTAATGGAATTCTCTTTAGAGAGAGAGAAAAAAAAGACATTTTTCTCAAAATGTTTTTTTTTTTTATATATATATATATATATAGATCAATAGACTTCAGAATGCTGCATGGGTGAATGTTTGTTCCTTGTACATTTTTTTTTAGCCGATTGCACCCACTGCAATCCTTGCATAAAAGTTAGTAATTCAAAAAATGACTCATGGGAACAAAATCTGTATCAGACAAATGTCTTGTCACTTTTACATAAGAGTGCAGGCTAAAAAACTTTGTGCAAACAATTAAAAGTTATAGTTTACATTCTTTAGTGTCCGTCTGCTAATGTAGAGCTTTTTGATCTCTAACATTTTACTTCTCCCGTAACACATCTGTTCAGCTATATATTTACCTTTATAGAGATTTTGCAGCCAAACTAAAGCAGCAAAATGCAACTCATCTAAACCTCAACGACGTTAATAACTGATTAATAATGCAGCTCGTGTGACTGGAAGTTTCGGAGATGAAGCGGAAACATCAGAGGTCCTTGCTGATGTCCAGTTTATGTCTCAGCTGGCAGCCCACCCCTGTGATGTGGCGACCTGCTCATCTGTGTGTAAAGGAAGTTACTGAAATCTGATCGCGCAGGACAGGAGTAAATGACAGTGCTTAGCGGGATCTACTGTTATCCGAATCAGTCAGGGTGTATTTTAATACCAGGTCTGAACCTGGTCTTATAGTTATGAAACTCATACCATTTAATATCAGTCTAAATTCTCATGATGTTTAACTCCAATTCAGAAAGCAACCACGGCAATGTTTTTCCAACAACTGCATACCCTGAGTGGTTAGGCTGGTACAGCAAGAACACAGGAGCCATATATAATAATGCAAAGGCATGACTGCTCAAATTATGGCCTTGTGTTGTAGAAACACACACTAAATAACTCCATTCCTTTATTCAAGCATGTTTAAAGCCTCTTTAAAAAAAAAAACCCACACACATTACATTCAAATGTGCATTTCTATCACGTGGTGCTTATTCTGGCATGTCGGCTGAGCTCATTTTTTAACATTACAAAACAATGAATGCATTGTTTTATAGGACGCTAAATTCAACTTTCTGTTTAACAGTTTGTCAGATTGTTAAATTTGGTAATAGCTAGCTTAATCAGCTTCCCCCCCCACTTCTATCCTTTGCATAAAAGGTTAACAAACCCAATAAAGAAGCATGAAGAACGGCAGAGATGTCAGAGCGTAAAGAGGATAATTAGCAGGTTGGACCGCAACACAGAACAGTGCATCATTTTTTTTGAACAGGAGAGGGAAAGTAATGGCTATTATTGGTCCTATGCTCCTTCTCCAACTACTTATCTAACGTCATGGTGTACCACTTCTTTGACATATTTGCTTTGTGTACTTTAAAAGGGAGCATCTTTAAACATGAACTTTGAAATCAAAACAAAAATCCAGATGGCAGAGTAAAGCACATCCAGTTACCATTTCAAGTGCAGCTTCAATTTCATTTTGAAAAGATTGGGGAAAAAAATTATAAACAACAACTCAGCCATTTTCAAATGGCGAAAGCACCCGTTTCGAGCCCCGCGCACGACATTTCCACTGTTATTTTCAATTACACTCCAACCATTGTTGAAATCAACCCTCTCTGTCTCTTTATTTCACGCCGAGGGTAACAGAAACGTGTTTACTGATCAGTGCAAGCAGAGACATCTTTGGTATTAAATTTGAGTCTTATCTCAGGGATGCAGCACGACCCCGACAACTGATACAAGCAGGGTTGAGACAACCACACATAAATTCAAGACAGCATCCACCCACACGCTGCATTTCTTAAAGTACACGACCCTGCAGCGACCCCTCTCCCAACTGCTAATTTTCACTGGGATGCAGGGCAGAATACGATTCCATCTAAAATTGATTTTTTTTCCCCTTTAAATTTAGCCATTCTATATATTTTTAATAGCACTGTTTTGTAATTTATGAAAGAGAGCAGAAAAAGCTCGACTCAGACATCACAGAGCATTGCAAACTAAAACAATACATTAAAACCAGTAGGCGCTGTAGTTTGCTTTAAGTATGATTCATAAAAAAATGGCAAAGTACAACAAATTGAAGAACTAAAGATGAAAACAAATAAGCCAAAAAGAAATTATTCAGCAAAATAGCATATTCCTTCCTTAAATCCAGTGTGTGGTTCGTTTCTAACTCTTTATCCAGAACATTTGAGCTTTTTAAAGCTCCACAACACAGGCCTGGTTTTCCACTGCTACAGTTCTGGAACCTCCAGCAGAGCCTGTGTGCTGACTGACCCGTCATTCAGACCCAGTTCAGGGTTTGGGCAAAGCGGGCGCTTACCACAATGGCGTTGGGAGAATGCATCAGTGCTCTCAGCTCGTTGAGATCATTCTCAGCCTGGACCAAAAACAAAGGGTACATGATGGTAGGGAGACACAGAGAGAAATTGTTAGCTCAGCAGTTTCAATGCATGCAGAGGAGGAGAAAAAAAAAAAAAAAAGCAATATAAACATCAAGTGGTAGAGATGGCATGGAAACTGTCCAGGAGGCTTTCACAGCTTCCATGTTCTTTGATAAAACTGAGCAGAACAAACAATCACAACTTAGATTTTACAAGTAGCTTTGTGGGAAGAACAAACCTGCCATCCACATGCACAAATTTACAACCACTTGACTTGAGCCCACACTGAATGCTTTTGGCTTAAGTTAATCATTTTTGCAATGCTTCTTTTTAACAAGGTCTGTAATTTTCTAAGGCTAACTTAAGCCCTAGAAACAAAGAAATGGAACAAAGCCTGAAAATTAAAAGAATGCCAAAACAAAACGTACATGTCAGACTGTGTTACATTCTGGACCAGAATTTTCATCAGTGCTGAACTCATTACTGGATTTAATTCAATGTTCTGATCAAATATTACAGATTTTATACAGTTCTAAAATGTAAAAGCATGTATTATCAACTATCATACAATTACAAAACTATCCAACAGAGTAAACCCTTAGTACAAAGCAATTTTGTTATGGAGATGAAAACAGTATTTATGGCATTCATATTTTTATTGTTGTTCACCACCTGATTTCTTGCCTAAACAAACATTCTAAAAACGACAACACATCACCTGAAATTATGCAGTCCGTAGTATTTTTCAATCAGCATCTTGCAAAAATATTTATACATCTGAAACTTTTTCACTTTTTACTATAGTAAAACCAGAGATTTCAATGTATTTTATTAGGAGTTTATATGATGGGCAGACACAGTAGAGCATACTACGGATGCACATTTCTATGTATTATTTGTTTGTACAAAAATTAGATGAAAAGTGGGACTGCGTGCACATTGAGAAACTATGTTTTCTTTTTTTTTTTGTCTATTTTGTTTCAGGAAAGCTCAAGCTTAGGCAAAAATAGATGGGGAGTGTTTTCTGCCATACAGCATTCTGCATGGAGGGTATAGAGTTCAGTTTTGGTTTGATCTGACCAAAGCAACCTTCTTGCATGTGCTTGGCGTGTCTCTTATATGGCTTACTAACTTCTTCTGTGTTTCTTTCAATTTTTGTTTGAAATGTATGAGAACCTTTTTGCAAGTTTATTGACTGTATGACAAATTAAAAATGTCAAATGCACTAATTAATAACTGCAGAACGAAATTAAACTTGTATAACAGTTAGACCACAAAGGTAGGTCAATGCCTTTCTATGCAACCTGAAAGAACCTCTAAGATTCATGTCCTTTATTATGTACAATTTTTAAACAAACACACTTATTATTTTTATAGTGTGTATAGCACAACAGATTCAAAGCACATTCAATGTTTATCAAACCTTAACTCATCAATTATAGGCATCCAAACTAACCTTGTCCCACTCCCCTTCCATGACGTGGTTGCGGAATTTGGACGCTGAAGGGTGCTCCAGTCTGCAGCCTGATTCCTGCATCAGCAGGTCCACCGTCTGACTGCAGACACACACACACACACACACACACACACACACGCACGCACACGCACACACGCACGCACACACGCACGCACACAAGCACGCACACAAGCACGCACACACGCACGCACACACGCACGCACACAGACAAGAGGGGAGGGGGTGGAGGGTTGGAGGAGAAGCAGACAAAGTTATGCTGATGTATAGACAGAAGACAGTAAAAAGGGAAGGAAAGTAGAGGATGGGTGACTGAAATTAAGCATGAAGGTGGCATCTCAGCGTCAGCAGTGAGTGGGTAATCAGAACTGTGAGCTCAGTCAGCAGGATGTCGAAATGTCAGAACATGATTATATGAAGTGACATGTCGGAGCTATTTATTGTCACCGTCGCATTTCTTTTTTGCGACAAAATGCAACCGAAAGGGTTAAGATGAGAGGCACGGCGGTCTGTGAGGACACTTTCAATGCAGAGGGGGCATCATCAACTCTACCTGGTGACATAAACTTAATAGCTCCCTATATCTGAGGGAAACCAACACAGAGCACTTGTGTCATGACCGGAGCATTATGTGTGGACAGTAGGAGGTTCATTAACATGGGGCGAGCTTTCTCTGCAGTTGACATCACCCTCTCAGCTTGTCAACCATGAACCATTACCATCTGTCCAAACAGCATCTCCCAGCTAAGGACACCATAAATGCGCCTGCCGAGATGCGAGCACGAGATAATGAAAACGAGGAGGCGCGGGGTGGCGGGGGAAGTTGGTGTGGGAGGTGCTGGAGGAGGAGGAGGGGAGGGGGGGGCAGACACCTTTCAGCATGATGACATCATTCTCAGGTATCAATGAAGTGGCGCAGCAGCTTTGTGTTCAGCCTCTCATCCAGCTGTCTGCAATACTGATTTCTCCTGTATTTCCCCTGCTGAAATATAGGGGCTCTGTTTCATACCAGGCAATGCCATGTATCCCCCCCCCCCCCACCCCATCATCTCTACCCTGCCACCTACCCCCCCATCTCAATGGATAGAGCAACGTTAGGGCTGTCTTTTAAAAAGCCCTGTAATGGCTGCTTTTTACTTTCTCAGCTGGACAGCACAGATCAGCGCAGGTTTAAGCTTCTATACAACAGTCACTTTGAAAACGATGAGTGCACACACACATGCATATCCTGAAACCCCCACCGTGGCTATAATTAGATTCAAGCAAAGCGTTTCCATCTAAAACAGCTGGTAGAGAGCGCATTCCTCAGCCGCCATGAAACCATCTGATTCTGCTCATTTCAGGAACAAATGCCGTCTTCAAATAAACACATGCCCTCAATAAAATGCATGTCACAGGTTCTGGCTGACTGTTGACAAATATCTATGACGATGAGACACGGGAATTAGGGCATTAATGCTAGAGAGACATAATCTGCAGGAGACAGCCGTATAAAGACGAGAGGGGGGAAACAAATATCAAAATCTACAAAGCTGCACAAAATGACGGATATAAAGAAACGCGGAGTTGGAAAAGACGAGGAATAATAACCAGATGCTGCCTTGTTATTACAGGGGCTTTTACGCATTACACTATTATTTATGTTGCACCGGAGGTTAAACAAAAAGAAATTATTTTGCAGCCGAGCAAAAACAATACACGAAAACCTCGAATCGCACTGGCTTGACAATCTATACATTAACCTTAAAATTTCTCCGCAATTTTTTTTTTTTTTGCGCAACAGCCTTTGAACCGCAAACAGGTACACAACAAACTCGATAATCCTGCTTTACCACCTCATTAAGAAGCTACCATAACATCCCCTTTAACACAAATAAAACACTTCATGTTGATGTGTTGTGAATAGATCGGACGAAAAAGTTAAGCCTTGTTTAGTGTGAATAAACGATACTAACATTGGATGATGTAATGCTTTTATCCAGTGCGAAATCCATATATGTTGACAGTACATCATGTCCTAATTTCAAAAACGTGCTTCGTGTTGCGTTGCATGCGATGAGCTGTTAAACTGCAGCTTGTGTTTTATGTTGTGTTATATCTGATGTCAGGGCACAGCACCTCAGCGCAGCCAAATGCTATTAGCTTTGAAGCTAACTGTTATTGTGCAAGATGGACCCCTTCTTCCTACCAACTGCCGAGCTCACAGGCTAACTTACTACCCCATCCCCCCATGTTTGTGTGTCAAGCGCTCTAATAGCGCTTTTAGCAACTACACTATCATAAGAAAAAACAGTGATGTGGATTATACTTGAAATGTTCATCGCTAATATTTGATGTCTGCTGAAGTTTTTCTACGACTGACACATTGGATAAACTTACTTCAGCCCTAGTCCGTGGAGATGTTGTCCTATTAATCGTATGACATCTTCCTCAGTCTGCGACAGCCGTTTCTTCTTTTTCAACGAGCCCACCTCCGAACCCGAGGCCGTGGAGGTAGCCGAAGTCCCCGAACAAGGTCCAACCGAAGACCCGTTACTGGTACCGACACCGTTACCGTTGTCCGCGTTGGACAGAAGCCCGTTTGAGTGGTTTCCACCGGCCGAGGATGATGACTCCCCGTTTTGTGCGCTGTTCAGGCAGGGAAGCTCAGAGGATTCTTGTCCCTGACTTGCCCCGTTTGACTGCATGCTGTTGCTAAAGTTGTTAACGACACTTCGATTAAAGTGAATGGTAGAGGTGGTTTGAGAGTGTGCGGCAAGTCCTAGGACAACTCCAGAGAGGCCTGTTACAACGGCTGAAGCCCCGGGCTCTCCTGCTCCCTCCGCCGCCGAGGCTCGGTGTTTCTTCCGCGGGGGCGGCGACGCTCCGCCGGTGTCCGAGTCGGAGGAGGAGGAAGCGGAGGCCAGAGTTTCCTCACCGAGAGCGGCCGTGGTTAGAAACCGGCGAAGCTCCGGGTGGGAAATGTAGGTTATGCTTCCAGATTGAAGGCCTTGTTGCCAGACTCAGAGCCTAATGTCAGCTCGTTTTTGTTGATGTTTCTCTCAAAACAGCTGCAACTCTAATGGAGTCCTGACGCCCTGACGTAGCCGGAAATTCCTACACTAGCAGGCTTCCGAGTAGAATATAATCCATGGGTGGTGCATGGGAACATAGTTAGCATAATAATTAAATATTTGACAAAATAGAAGATAAAAAAAGTGTGTGAATGTTGTTTTTATGACCTATGTATTTTAAAACTAATATAATTTTTTTGTAGATTTTACACAAATCTTTTTAATCAGTGAACTGACAAATCACAATAATGTATTGAAATTGGTTAATTATGCTTAAACTGTAGAAAAAAATAATTTAAATAATGTAACGTCAACGTTTAGTTCCAAAATGTCTTTAAAAATGTAATACTGAGAAACAATTTGTGTTTTATCATCAAAGTGACTGAGAAATTATGAAATACAACTCCAAAAGCTATTCTATGCAGTTTATTTGCAGTTTGCTTCCTTCTTTAATGTGTCTGTTATATTCATTAGCCAGTACCTGATACTTAAAATGCTGATGTGCAAATGCCTAACTTCATTACTAGTCACACATTAACACAATAATTTGAAAGAATAGCAGTCATCCCACTTTTACTTTTTGAATAAACCTTTGATCAATAGAGAAACAGTGCTTGATCAATGAGCTATTGATTGGCTAAGCAAATGTCAACACATCAGAAATTCTTCCACTCAGTTATTATCTGAGTTTAAACAAGTTAAATCAGTCAATTTTGACCTGGAGTTTATACAGAACAAAGATGCATCATTGAGCAGAGATGTACACTTTCCCACATACTCTGTTTCAGATGTTTACAGCTTGGAGACTTTCTTCAAGCCCATCTCTCCAATGTGGCAGACAAATTGGCCACCAACAAGGCTGTTGTTTCTTATCTCACAACCATCATGAAAAAGCCATAATATCCTTTATTTATGGCAAATTATGCTGAGAAACGAATCAAAATCTGTATGGGAGATATGATCAACTTTTCAGTTTTAGATGATATTTGAGATTCAGTTCCTACTATTATAATTGTGCAGGCTACTCTTACATCTGCAATATGAGATATTAAGCTCAATTAACCAAACTCAGTCAGCCATCTGCTAGGGTTTAAATCCTTACCATGACTCTGACACTTAACCTTTTACTTTCTCTATTTTGAATACAGTGGGTGAGCAAGTATAGTTTAGATGAGATGAAGACTGTTTCCCTGCTACACAGACTCTGTGGAATTTAAACATCACACCAGCCTTGGTTACGTTGTAAAAAAAAAAAAAATCGCAGGCAACTATAGCATCGTGAAGATCCCTAACTTTCCATGGTACAGGTAGATGTGAGTCAGTATCAGGTAACAGGTTTGGTGTGAAACAATCTGGAGGAGTCACTATTTGTATATTTATTGCCGCAACTGCCAATGTTTTTTTGTTTTGTGTTTTTGTATGTCTTGGTGCATATATATATTTATCCACTGGAATGGGGTTTTGATTCTGAACATTTCAATTTTAAAGAAATAAAAAGCTCTAAATAAGAATAATTTCAGTAAACAAAGCAATCACTCAAGTTTAATAATTAGTTTTGATTGACTAGAATGCCACTTAAATTGGCACTTTCCAAACATTCAAAACACTGTAAAATAATTTGAAACGCAAAGACTAAATATAATTTATTAATAGTGTAAATGCAATGTAATTAGCCACAAGGTAAAACAAAGTATATTACATGTTTGTTACATACATCAATGGAATTATAAACACAGATTTACATTCTGACTCTTGCTGCATTCTTAGACATCCTTGTGTTTTAAGGCTATAGACTTAAATGTGACTTAATATCAACAAATAAAAAATTAATAATGAGTCATTTATGTCATTGGTGAGAGTAAGGCAAGCTCTGTGTTCACCTGAAGAAGAAATTCATTTCATTGCATCGATTGATGTTACCAAACGGATTCTACATGCTACAGTTACACAAAAGAAAATGTAAAAGTGTTTCTGTTATTTGAGAATGTCACCTGTGTTTCTTGGCACTATTTAGAAAAGACCACAGGTTTGTTTGTTCTGATGCCATCAGTGTGGGACCTATTGCATAACTTTGCAAAAAAATTTACTGCAGTTTTCTAATAGTCATGATTATTTTGCAGTGGTGTTTGAATTTATTGGTTTGTGTACCTTTTTGCTGCTAACATAAGCAGCAGAGTTTATAAAAATATGTTGGAAAAACAACTGTGTACAAGAAGAGTGGAGCAAAGCTACCATTGCCCTTAAATCTGTTTGCATGTTAATTGAAATATTCAGGTGAAAAAAGTCAGGGAAGGTCATCCACTTGGTGCGGGAGAGCAGTTGTTCTCGGACCTGCTTTGCCGCTAGACTTGTCTTTCCCTTTCATGAAAAAGGTAAGCAGCTCTCCTTTTCCCTTGACAAATATGGGCCCTCTTCGAATGAAGCGGAAGCCGTATTCCTTCAGGATGTCATAGCAGTCCTCCACCACCTGATGGCAAAACAGGACAGATATTTACATGAATGCTATTCTGAAAACCTAAAACTTTCAAACTTATAGAATGTTGCATAGGTTTTTTTCAGTTGTCACTATGCATGATGATGGGAGTTTATAAAACCGGAAAAAAACCTTATAAGTGTTTCCTTCAAAATGGTATGAAGCTTGTAATCACCCATACGTAAAGACATATTTAAGGGTTTAGATTTAGCTTTACAGTTAAGATTGTTAATATTTGACATTTAGAAATGATGGTTTAAGGTTAGGGAAATGGTGGGTGGTAAAGGTAATTTGAAAATCAATTGTCCCATTCGACATTGAAAGATGTCTATGTTTGAGCTACCTGGATGTTGCCCATCACACCAGTTGACTCCATTCTACTGGCCACATTGACTGTGTTACCCCAGATGTCATAGTGAGGTTTACGGGCTCCAATTACTCCAGCCAGAACAGCTCCTTTATTCAAACCTAAAGGAATCGACATGAAAAGATCGTAACGTGTGCAAAGACTCAAAAAGAGAGGCACCTTCTTCCAGGCTCACTGACCGATCCGTAGCATGAAGTTGTTGAAGGACTGCTTGTTGAGGTTATCAAGAGTGACCTTCATGGCCAGGGCAAAATCTGCCAGCTCAGACAGGTGCTGCCAGCGTTCAGTGAGTGACTGGTCTTCTGGCTGTGGAACAACAGAATGCAACTTTGTTGTGTTAATATCACTTTGTGTGGCACAAATTGGAGTATGTAGATAAAAACAAGACAGGATCACACCTTACGGCTGCCATATCCATTGGTGTTGCTTTCGGGCGTTAGTCCAGAGGCAGCCATGTATGTGCTTCCTATCGTCTTGATCTTTGTGATACACCTGAACTCATCTCGGTCCAATAACTGGTGAGCAAAAGAGGTATTTGCTATTCTTAATTTAGGTGTTACAGAAACAACAATAAATCTATCCATCCATCCATTACTCCGTCTGTTGACTATTCCCCTTTATCATTGCATTGTTGCAGGGTACAAAAACATTTTTTAATATAGTTCTCTGATCACGTGGTTACATTCATGTGATCGTGAACGTAACCATGATCGCATGATCCATAACCTAATTATTTTAGGTTTTGGATAGTGCATCTCAAAACCCTTCTTTGTCCATGGTGAAAGGACTGCACAGCATAAATGATGTTTAAATATGTGGGATAGGGTGGGCCATAATCCAGGATAACTAAGTAAACACATACACGCTAATATTCGGTTAAGTATCTCACAACACAATCCTGAGAATCTGCCTGGAGCCATCTCCCAGGCTGCGAAATATTTAAATCTGGACAATTTGACCTCTCTTCTTAGCATAAAGGGTAGAGGTCATTTGAATTGTTTGGCTTCATGGCATAGACTCGTTGCTTAAGCAGGATCCATAAATGTTCCATATGGTTGAGGTCAGGGGTCAGTCAATAAGCTTAATGTTAATCCTGTGGTATTATTGTCCTGCTCAACACTCAGTTGCGTCCAAGTTTTATCCAGTTATTGGTTGATATAAGGTGAGGCTTAAAGGTTCTCTAATTTCATTATTTTATATTACTAAGAAACATGTTAAATGCATCAGTACCACTGACAGCAAAATAAACCCTTGTCATGATGTCACTACCACCAGATTGCTTGACAATCCGCATATAATTTCGATGTGATTCGACTCTACTATTTATCCACAAAGCCTTTTCATTGTGGCTACAGAGATTATGGCGTTAAATAGGAGCATTTTAGTCTGTATTTCTAATATGTGATTGTCAAAAATCTGTGCAAAACATTTGCCAGGACCTTTTTTCATTGCTAAAAAGTATACGGTTTCTCTTGAACTTTATAAAACACCTTTTAACAAGCTTTAGTGGGGCTGCATGTACAGTTTTGACCCTTTATGAAATGAGTAGAAATCCACTGTAAATTCAAACCTGTGCAAGTAAAAACTTTTTTACTGTTTGATCATTGAACCCCTGGAAAAAAAAAAAAAAAAAAAAAAATGCAAACAGATCATTCGTGTCCATTATGATAGGAGGCCACAACTCACGCTGTCAAAATCTGAAATGATCTCATTGAGGATCCTGAGACACTCGATGCCTCCGTTGTTGATGCTCTCTTCGGTGTAGAAATCAGAAAAGTTTGGAATGGAGGCAAACATCACACCAATTTCATCGTAAGACTGACTGTACAGCTCCTGCAACAAAAATAATTACATTAAAGTAACTAGTGCTGACTTTTATGACAATGCATATTTTTTTTTATATTTCAGAGGATTAAATATGTAATTATGGAACAAACCACAAGATGGCACTGAAATGCAATGGATTGCATAGTAATAGGATCTAAGCTCTTTTATAACACATTGATTGCGTTTCAAAAGAATGGCACAAAAAAAAAAAACACAATGTAGGTAAAAACAAACATGTTATATTCCCAAATAGGTTGGGTGCACTGCAGGATGCATGCATTAAAAAAAACAAAAAAACTTTCATTTATTTCTATTAAAATGATCTGTTAGTTTTGTTGTAAGCAAACCAACTCAGATCCATCATGCCATTGATTCATTAGATTCTTACACACATTTACGCAAGGAAGAATCTTCAACACATATTCCGTGTGGCAGTTTGTCATAGTTATTCATTGTATTCCACTTTTTGTTTTTTCCATTGTTAGGCTAGTGATGAGTTACACCTTGAGCAGCACTTTGATCGACTATTTTGTCATACTGTTGTTTTAAATGTGCTTTGGAAATAAACTTGGACTTGACTTGGCTTGATTTGTACCTCGTCTCTCATTTTAGTGCCCAGAAAGTGTTTGGCCACATGCTCTGGCAGCATGTTGGTCACCAGTGCCTCGTTCCAGCGCCTCATCTCGAACACCCGCTCCTTCTGGTCGTGAACCCCAATCTTCCACAAGAACAGCTTCCTGGACTGACGCTCCAGCTACACAAATGCAAGTTTGGTAGAAGGGAAGTCATAAAACAAGAATATTTTTGAAATCAGTAGTGAAAGTGTCGTCGAGTGATCCCCTAGTTTTACTCACATGGCGAGCAAAGACGTAAAAGCTTATCATCATGACGATAATCATCATTGTCATGAGATACTTTGATGGCACTATGGATGTTCTGAAAATACATGGAGAGGGCCAACATTAGAAATGACACGTGCACACCCCACTAAAAATCCATAGCAACATGCAGGCAAAAAAAAAAAAAAGTCTTGCATTAATATTCCCCTCTTCCTTACCTGTAGGAGGCAAACTGTATAAAATCATACAAGTCGTATATGTCACTCCAGCTGTAAATATTTACTGCTCCTGTTGCTGTGACAACTAACACCATGAGGCCCAGTTTGATCAGGTGGCTGACCTGAACCAGCATGGCGGTTGCGATGAGTGACATCACAGCCATGAAGCTGTAATACTTTGGATTTTCCGCACAGCCTCGGTCGCCAAGAGACTCCAGCATCGGGCCAAAGGTACTGTTAAAGAGCCTCAGTGAAGGCGGGACACAACTTAGCTGGAAAAATCAAAGATACGGAGAACATTGGCAACAGGAGTAACGGGTGTTAATTCATATAAAAACATTTACTGAAAAACATTAAATCTTCTGACACTAATTACTTTATATTCTTTATGTTACAAACTAAAATACTGTCAGAAATATTAAATATATTTACAAAAGCAATAAAAAAATTGAGCTGAAAAAAACAAACTGTAGAAGTGGATTAAAAACTTCATTGTAAGTTTTACTTGGGACATGATTCCACCACAAGTAGTTATGGGATAATGAGTTTATTTCCTTCCCCTGCGGAAAAGGTAATTACCGCCCTAGACCTTAGTCACTGGTATGTGTTTACATGCAAAGCCATTTTGGGTGTTATCCCAGCTGAGGCGACATACCTTTTAACAAATAAATGTGAAACTTACAATCTGCGATTACGTCAGTAATGCAATAACTGAACTAGATGAGCAAGTATTTAGGTTTTTGGCATCAAATGTATGAACTAAATAACAAATTTAGCTACTGTAAAATTGTTGGAATCCACCTCATTTGTGTGCAAGTGATTTTAGTACAAACAATTCTTAATATGCTTCATCTTTTGCTGCTAAATGTAATGTATTTATGTTGCTGTCCTCTTGCCCAGCTGTCCTGATCTAAATGGGAATAACTCAAATAGATAAATGTTATAAATAGCTCTTATTTTTTATTTTTGCAAAAAGATCAAATCTGTGTATACATTCATGTCTGCCATTGCACTTTCCATTGAGTTGTCCTGCTTCTGAGAAGTCATTGAAAAATACATTCAACCCTTACACTGTTTTTGCCCCAATTTGTAAAGTATAGGGTTTATTTTGTGGTGTTTAGGTTTCGAAATATTAATATTAATATTCCTGGTATTGCCCAGTAGCAAATTCTAAATCAAGTTGCAACATTACACGCACACAGTTACATGTTTTGAGGAAATAAGAAGTTCATGATTTTAGGGGCTCTTTGAAGATGGACTGTCATCCATGCCTGTCCACCAAGACACAAAAATGAAGGTTCATTCTTGCATCTACGTGACAAAACTCAGCAGTGTGTGTAGCAGGTTTCCCTGTGAGGCTGTGACAAATTAGGCAGCAGGCAGCGAGACAGACAGCTAATGGACTCCACTGGGAGCATGCAGTGAAAAGTGTAGCAGGCAGTGATAACCTGATGATGGGAAAGTGGAAACTCACTAATGGAAATCAGCACACACACACACACACACACAACACAACCGCTTGGAATGGTGACATTTTTCAGTTCTGAATAAATGGAGATAAAAGTGTACAACATAAAAACGGATTCATTCCTTTGATCGCAACAGTCAGCATTCATGGAGATTCTGCGTTTGCCAAGATGTCCTTCGGTCTTACCATGTCGGCTATTACGGCCATGGTTAGAACAAATATGGCTGCCATGGCCCACGTGTTCCGAGCCCACCGTGTACGGTCGATCCACATTGAGAAGGAAACCAACCTCTTAGAGAACATCTGTAACAAGCAAACCATAAATAACACAAATCAAGAAATGGAAAAATTGAAAAGGGAATTTTCTGTCTTTACAGTAAAAAAAACAAAAAACAAAGAGGCTTGTGGTTAAGAATGATTAATAGATTAATGCTTAAGTTCTCACCCTAGGAAAGATTGCAGCTAGGGAGCAAACTGTGAGAATAAGCAACAACAGCTGGCCAACAGCGAGAGTCACGTAGTTCACAACCAACCTGGGTAAAGAACGCATGAAACTATTAAAATCACTACAAATAAATTGAGAATTAGATGCTTGCAACAACATTCAGCGACTAAACACCAACTCACAGTGGGTCAATAAACACTTCCATTGCTGTGATGAAAAAGAGCACAATGACACAGCAGCTGAAGGCCGCGCCACTTCTCTTCTCCTTCTCCGAGGAGTAGTGCTCCTCTAACTTTCCATCCACAAAGCGCAGTGAAACGGGGTTGATTTGATCCTTCATTCTGTTTCAAAACAACACAACTCAACACCGGATACTGGGAGATAATGTATATAAAAAATGGCATCCGCATAGGGAGGACAAACATGTCACATGTTTGCTTTAAAAGTTCACTAATTGATGACGCATCTTACATTTGCTGAGATTCTCTGTCCAGAAGTTCCTGCTGCAGTCGTCTATTGATTGCTTGTTCGTCAGCCATTTTATTTCTCTGAGATTATTTGCAAACAAAACAGAAATAAAATGTGCATATAAGGTTATCAAGTTACCTCATAGATTTTTTTTTAATTATTATTATTTTAATGCCAAGGTCGCGTTCAGCATTAGCTTTGCAACAAAAAAGTAGACAACAAAAAAACAGACATACAATTTTATCTACCTCCTGTTTAGGGCTAGTCAGCATTGACTGAGGTGAGACTGTGTTCCCATTGGTCATCGTTGTATTGATCACCTGATTTGAATTTCTGCTGGTCAGTGCCCCAGGTGTCTGAGGTATAAAAAAAACAACAAAAAACAAAAAAGGGATATTTATCTATGACATTAAAACCAATTGTTGTTTATTTTCATCTTTACTACAGGCTAGCATCAATGTTCTTTTAAGCTAAAAGTAACTTACGGTTCCATTGAGTCCATTTGCTTCCTGTTTGGGTTTGAGAACCAGGTAAGTGTCAATTCCTTTCTCCAGCAGGTACTCGCACCTCTCTCCCCCGTTTCCAGGCTCTACCTCGAATTCCCCATGCAGACTGTCCTTAGTGCTCTGGGAAATGTGCACTCTCCTGTGAAGCGTATAAATGTTTTAAGACACAAGGAGTTGACTGCTAAGTGTAAGATCTTATTTTTATTTTCCTACCCAGGGATTCCTCCAGACTCCATCTTATTGGCCACAGTGACATCTGTTGACCAAACGTCAAACTGCCAGCGCTTCTGACCGAGGACTCCGCCGAGCACAGTGCCTGTGTGAACACCCACGCGCATGTCCACGTCGGTTTTTGTCTTTTCGCGCACGTACCTGTTGAAATAGAGGAAGAATTATTTTCTACACCCATTTGACTGTTCCTCACCAAACTCCAATACTCTGATATTGAGAGTAGAACTCTGTACTTCATTATTTGCTGTCAAATTTCCCCCCTGTTATAAGAGATCATTTTTTACATTATCTCCATATCAGGGAAGCAGAGAACTATTTTCTTTTTCACTTTACATATTTTTCAAAGGAGGCACTACTTACGAAATAGCCTCCACCATTGAAAGGCCCATCATTATAGAGCAAACAGCATGGTCTTCCCTGAAGTCTGGCAGACCACAGATGCAGTAGTAACAGTCTCCAAGAATCTTAATTCTCAGTTGGTGATGTTGCTGCGGAACAACGAAAACATTTAATTTGCAAAAGTCTCTATAAAAAGAGATTGGACATAAAGAAACAATTATTAATACGGGGACTGATTAAACTTGGCGTCTTAGGTTTGTGCAAATTCATAGAAGTTTCAGTGGGTTTTGTAGATTTTTTTTGTGTAGATATATCTATTGAGAATGCACAACCAATGAAAAATTAAAATGAGTGCACAACAGTACATTCTATTCTGATCGAAAAACTGCAGCTACAAAAATAACACACTGACATTTTCAAAATTTAACCTTTCAATGACTGTACTCTGTTGACTGTGTGTTGGGTTTTTATTCAGCCATTGCTATAAAAAGATCAAGGACGCCTATTTTAGGCTAATTTCACAGGTTTTTTATAGGATTTCAGTCTGGACACAAGATGGCGAAGAAGAAAGTGTGATTTTGTTGACCAAAAATGCTTTATTTTTTGACATGCCTTCCATAAACCTGGTTGGCACATAATGGTTATCTTAACATTTTGTCAAGACAAAATAACAACAGAAACGTAAAAGAAGACACAAAGAAAAAAATAACCTTGTGGCTAACAATTTGAATAACTTCAAGCAGATCTATAAACAAAGATCTCAGAACAAAGGCGCAAGTATTCTTACTGATCACTGCTTTTTTAGCTGTTGCGCCAGGTTGAAAGTACTGGTAATAAGGCCTGTCAAAAAACAGGAAAAATCAGTCCTTTGTAATAAAAGTAAAAAAAAACAACAAAAATTAAAGCAACAGATTTTGAGTTCTACTGTTTCGTGATCAAGATGTCTAGACAGTTTATGTGAATCTGTTATAACTGTCTTTACTATGGTATCTTCTAAAACCTGGTTATGCTAGTAAGACACTGGGCAGTATTATGCACAGAAGTCATGCACTTCAGAGGATGTTGTTTTACATTCTGGCTGCACATTTGTCTGCTTGCAAATATGCTTGTGTGAATATCAGTTTTGTATTAGTTTGATTATTTGCTTAATTTTCAATTTCCTAATCGAGACAATAACGTCTCCATTAAAGACTGAGAATCGGTGGCTTGTCTTTGTGGCTAGCAGAATCATATGAAATTTTCAACTCAGGAAAGCAGAAGTCATAGACTGCTAAATAAAAAGGACACCTTAAAAATACTTCAGTTGCATTTATTTTAAAAGCATTACTATTGATAACGATGATTTTGCAACTGGTGATTGTTTTTCTATATTTAACAGTGCAAAGACAGACTTTTTTTTGTTATTGCTTGAAGATTAAGATTGTTCTACTGCATACAAAGATTAATTTAAAACACAAGGCCGTAGGGTGCTAATAACTGTTTACAGCACTAAACGAAACATGATTAAGGTAATCATTCATTGCTGATACTCACTGAGGCCAGTTTATCGAAGCGGGCAAACAGTTCGTTGAGCAGCTTCACCAGCTCTTGTGCACTACAGGCTGAGGATAACTGGGTGAAGCCCACGATGTCTGCAAAGAGTATACTGAAACCAAAAGGCATATACAGAGGAGAAACAACATGACCTCCAGCAAGCATCTTTCACTTACAAAAATCACAACTCTTGGGTAGCATTAAAGTTGATTTTGTGAGCCAGACCTGACGTTTTCATGGCGGTACATGTACATGGTGTTGAACTGCTGCTGCTGCTGGACCTCGTTCTGATTGGCCTGGTTCTTCATGCCCTGCAGCATCTCGTCTGCGATATGCTTCGGCAGGATGGAGAGCAACAGTTCCTCCTACATGGGGGGGTGGAAGGGAAAGGGAAGGGTGTGCGTGTTCAATTAACATGAAACAGAAAAAGACGTCTGAGTGCCCAACATGTAAAGCTATTAATCTGTGGTTCTGAAAATATTCTGGTCAGGTTGACATATTTCTTCTCTTTTTTAATCACTAAACATGTCACTTGAGATTTAGTTTGCAACTCTCTATTTTTTTAAACTACAAGGAAGACAACTGTTTTAAAGCTTAAATGTTTTTCAATTTGCTTCACAGATTTCAACATTCAAAATTTTTTTATTGAGATTTGATGTTACAGACCAACAAAACAGCACAATGTGTTGCACAGTTGTTAAGTGGAAGAGAAAAATAACACATGGTTTTCAAATAATTTTACAAATAAAAAAAAAAATTGAAGTGTGATAAGCACTGGACTCTGACAAGGCCATTCTAACATATAAACATGCTTTGGCATTTCTACATAAGTAGATGCAACAGAAACAAAACGCAACACTAAATGCAAAATTGTAAAGCTGAATTAAAATAAATATTTGATAAGCTAATCAGCTTATATGGTATGTTGCCCAAGAGACACAAAGCATATCTGCATTTATTGCCCAACAGCTGAGATGACATTATTTTCACAAGTCCCTGATGACTGATCCACTGATGAAAACAACGGCCTGTCTAATCAACCTATTAGCCAGCAGCAGAGGAAAACACAGGGCAATTAAGGACGTTCTGTCATCATCTGATCCATTTGGGCGCAGGTTCATGGGAAAATGCATAAAGAGTGTCTCAATGACGTAAACAATTACACTGTATGTCGGATAAGGTCACAATATTTGGATGAATGATAGGTTACGATTAGGAGGGAAAGCAGTGGCTAAGGTTAGTTTAGGTCTCCTGAAAGTCACATTGTTCTCCTGAGTCACGTTACCTGCTGGGTGCTCTGGTCCTCCAGAGTCAGTTTAACCTGCAGAGACTGACGAGCTTCCAAAAACGCTGTTCTGTACTTCCTGTCGGCCATGTAAAATGACATCACGCCCACCGTGGCTGCACACAGGTACAGCATCACATTGGCCAGCAGCTGAAGAAAAAGAGGAAATCTCATATTTTTCTTCCTGTAGTTAGGTGCTCTCCACCCTTTGTCTGTAATAATATAATTTGCTGCTTTCAGCTGAATATTGATGGACTCCTAAACGTGAGAGTCATATATTTTGTTGATGAATGATAAATGCAGAATGTGTACCAGGGTGTATTACAGTTTTGATCAATGAAATATTATAAATAACAAAAAAGCACAGAGTCATGCAACATCTAAACTGTTGTGAAATTTTACTTCTCTCTTGCTGCAGTTCGACTGTCACCTTTCGTGACACCTGCATTTCTTTACCTGTCTCACCAGCATGGGCCCCTGGAGATTATCCCCAAACCTTTGAGCCACAGTGACCCCCAGTGTCAGGGTGTGTATCCCACAGGAGAGCGTTGCGAGGAGGACGAGGGGCAGCAGATTCAGCGGTAAGGTCAGAAAGCTGGAGAAGCTGAAGAAAGCCTGCCAGCCCACAGAGTCGCTTGCATCAGAGAATCGCTCGTAGTTCAGTCCCATGTAACACAAGACATGGATGGTGACCATCAGCCACAGCACATATGGCGTCGCTCCTCGTGCCACGGGGGATGTAGGGAGTTTTTGGAACCAGCAGAGCAGGTAGAGAACTACATCCGCTGCCAGCCCCACAGCAGCGACCACCACCATGGCCAGTTTGTCCTCGGTGTACACCACTGCACACATAATGATAATGAAGCTGTTGAAGAGGGCTGCAAATAACACCAAGACCAGCAGGTTCTCTTCTCTCTGCCGACGAAAGTAGTTCTGGTACAGCCTCTCCAAGGACTCGGGGGTAAAGGTAAGTCGCACTGACCGGGGCAGGCAGCGGCAGCAGCTGGACTGGAGGACAGCCACATCCCGGGTATGGCTCGGATCACTGGGAGCCGGTCCTGAATACTCTGCAGAGCACTCGGTGGACTGCTCTGCGTTTGTTGTATTGACACGGTCCACAGACATGCTGCTCATTTAAAGGTACTCCATTTGGTTTCTCCGACGGTATTCCCAAACGTATGGTAAAATCCTCTGAAAAGATGCAAACATTTCAATCAAATGTATATATAAAAAAAGAAATCAGTCCCTGGGTGAATATAAATCCATCATAAAAGGTTCTTACCTTGTATGACATTTAGGATCATTTGCTCATTCTTGTTCTTCCCAAACTAAAACTTCATAGTGAAAATATGGCCTGCAGTATCCAAATCCTGTTGAATTTGCAGTAGAAAGGAGCCATGTGCAGCTACCCTTTTGAAAGTAATGCATGTTCAAAACGGGTAAACAGCATCACAAGGTTGTGTCTAAAAACCAGAATCACTTCTCTGATGCTCTTCTGTGCTCTGGTAAGTCCTCTGTTACCTCCCACCCCCAACATCTCCCACTGGTAAACAGCTAATCCTCTGTTACTGTTGTTAAGATGACACTAAAATCTCACAGCCATGTCTTGGGAAATGTGATGTGCGCAGAAGTGAGAAAAAGACAGACGAGGGGGTCTCATTAAGGCACATGACAAAAAAAAGTGTTTTTATTGATTCGCCATCATTTCACAGAAAAATAATTTAAGTCCTGAAAAGGACACAAATACCAAGGTTTCCTGGTGGACAAAACTATATGGTTCTTATGACACACAAATACTAAATATCTACACAAAACAAAAAAATATTATCATTCCTCTTTGTTAGAAAAATACTGGCAGCAGCAAAATGCTGGAGTTTGATTCCAGTCGTAGAAACAGATGTAAACTCAGTCGTCATTCAGTCTCTGTGTGTGTTGGTTGTTGATGGTGATTTTTCTAGCATACCACTGAGAGCGCTTCCCAAAGCCAACGCTATAGCCACCAGAACTCCTACGGTACCCAGCGTCCCCAGAGCTGCCGTGCCCAACGCTGCGGCCCCCAGAGCCCCGGCTCCAATAGGCGCCGCTGCTGCGGTGACCGTCTCCATGCCGATTCCTTTAATTAGCTCCGCCCCTGTGAGAAGCCCCTGCTGTAGATTCACCTTAGTGTGGAACGGACTCTTTGGAGCACCCAAGACGAATGCCCCCACTGCAGTGATTGTCACCGTTACCAGCTCAGAGGTTGTCAGCTGCGTTGATGTCAGTCCTGGAACCTCAAGGGCTACAAGTACACCCAAGATAACGGAACCTAAAAGTACCAATGTTGAATTCCTAGACCCAAATGTTTGCTTGGCTGAAACACTCGCAGCACCCAGTGACACTCCTGCAGCTGTAGTTGCTCCTAAAGCTGCTCCGGAGCAGCTTCTCAGTCCTAGAGCAGGGCTCAAAAGTACAACAACTCTCAGGGCTATTGATGTTATTACCACAGCTCCCACACAAACCTTTCCAGCCACCTCTGGCCCCAGTCCAACCATGGCCACAGTTCCCAGGCCAGCCCCCAACAGTCCCGCAGACAGAAATCCCACCCAAAGAACGGACTGTAGAATTAAAATCACTTGTGTTTTTGTGCCTTCTTCTGCCCCACCTGAACCCAAACCAACAAAAAAACCCAAAACTGCCACAAAAACAGAGTAGAAGAAGATCCTCTCCAACAATTTGCACCTGGTTTTAGATTCTGGTTTTGGTGGCGACCTTGCTTTTAGAGCTCGTCGTAGAGCAAAGAGAACGATGATGGTCAGTCCCATACAGAAGAACCCAAGTATGGCACCCAATCGTCCAAACATAACACTGGTGTACAGAGTGGTGAAGATGATTAACAGAGCTGTTGTCATGTCACTGATGTTGGAGTACGAGTACACGATAAGAACCAGAGTACCCTGAACCATGATGTAGATCCAAGGCGGTATGATGCCCTCCAACCCTCCGGTGACGACTGCACCCAATGCGACTGATGACCCTGACATGGCTCCAATCAACCACGGCAGGGTCACTCCTGCTTTATTGAGCAGCTTCAGCACCATGGCACTGAGGAGGAAACCCAGTCCAAGAGAAAGGAGTGCTGATGTAAACACGAGGCATGCTGCCACGACCGCTACACCAGTTGAACCAGCAGGTCCAGCAGCTCGAGTGGCAGCATTCAGCAGAGTGACGTCTTCAGTCAGAGAGGGCTTGACTGCGTATGAGGCAGCTTGTCCGAACACAAAACCAGCTGCTGCACTTCCGAGGAGGGTCTTCACCACACGGAAGGCACCTAAAAACAAAATTCAGTTATTTTATGCTATTCAAACTACTATTTACTTTCTACATTAAAATGTATATGCTATTCAGAACTGCTTTATGGAAAAGGTATAAATTTATTACCCTTAAAACAACCTCCTCAATAGATCTGTTCACAATATTTTTTTTAATTTTTGTTGATGAATTTCAATAAATAAATAAATAAATAAATAAATAAATTAATTAATTAAGCAGAGTCCTAACTGCTCCAGTAAAAATTTTACTCACTGGTTCACCAGAAGATGTATAAACATTTTTAGATTCTTCATTAAGTGGTTTAAATATAATTTTCATTTGAATCAGATCTATTTACAGGCAAAGGTCCCAGATAACAAAGGAAATTGTTTTTTTTTTTCATTTGAACAGATTTTACTAAAATGGATATTTATTCATGGCAAAAATGGTTTTGTGTCAATAACAGAAAGATAAAAATGCATGAATGATATTTTAATGTGATTGTTATCTGATTAATGAAAATCCTCAAGTATCTAATAATGGCGTTATGTAGCAGAGCTTATATGCAGTGTTTTGAAGGAAGTATTTTTTGGGGGAAAAAAGTCTTTGACATCCATCAGTTTGGAAATGGGACAATAAGCAGATCATCATGAGAGGCATTGCCCACAAATGGGGAAAAAACATTACGCAGTGGTGAGTCCTCCCAGCAAGCCCACCGAAATTAGTCCAAAAACACCATTGGCAGCTCATCCAGATTTGTCCCAGAACCCATGATTGGTCTGGATAAGCTTTGGCCCTTAATGAATGAAATCACTTAAGTTTGAATGAAATCACTTAAGTTTTTATTTTTATAGGCTATTTTTGTCTGAAATAAATATTTTTTTTTTTTTACAATTATATTCCACAGGGCATTAATTGTTTTTCAAAACTGGTATAAGTTTTTAACCAAACTGAAAATCTTGTCTTAATTTGTTTGTGAATCAAAATTGAAAGTTCAGGACATTTGGATTGACTCTGGAATTTCATATCTTTATTTTAGACTTGACTTGATATTTGATCGTAAAGATTTAAACCTTACTTTTCAAAACAAAGACACTCATCTGACTCTGTGGTAGAGTTGGTAAGCAACTGATGTGAAATATTTGCAACTATTTCGCATACAACATATTCAACTAAAACTGATAATCTATAATCAATACCCCATTAAGAATGCTTACAAAGGACTTTGTACCCCAGTTTCAATTTTGTTCAAATCTATTCCTGTTACTTTAAGATAAAAGTAGAATATGTGTGAATAGTTCCACGCTGAAACCTAAAACCAGGAAGTCTGTCTGCCGTACAAAAGAAAAGCAAGCATTTCAGTGGAGCATATCAGTACAGCTGCTGCTCTCCAACTAACACGCCACCAAACAGATCTCATATTCAGCTTTCACTACGTCTGAGGTTGTGTGTGAAGTTCAGGACAGCGTTATCATCTTACCCAGGCTTGTTTCTGCCATTTCTCCCTGAGCTGTGTGCACCTCACTGACATTACAAGCTCTTCCTGTTCATGGTTAGACGTCAGACGATCTTACGGTGAAAGGAGCCAATCAGGTAAAAGATACCAGCTCCTGCCTCTTTACCATGTGACCGCCTCACTGTTGCCCACATTTATATGAATGAACACAATAAACTATTTTCTTTATTAATATAAAAATAATGTGCTTAGAAAGGTTTATTCATGATGTTGAGCATCATTACAGTAAGATAAATAATAATTTCAAAAACTAATAAATAAAGTTTGAACTACCACGGCACGCGTCAGGCAACAATGGCAGTTGGTCATTTCCATACCCTAAATTTTAATTACATTTATAACATACACTTGCTAAAACAATTTTATTGGCTAAATTTTCGAGAACGAATAAACAAATATTCGTAAATATCTCATGTATTAGGGCTTCCCCCTCCCCAACCACCACCTCAAAATAATTAAATAATTGTTTGACAATAATAGAGAACAAGCATGATAAAACCAACAATGTGATTTGATTCCTCATTTTTCACACAGTTTGATTTTGAGTTGCGCTAAAATAACAAAATCTTGTCACCTAATGCAAACATGAAACATTGCCTCAAAAGGCAATAATTTACGCACATTACTTGTCATGATACAATACCTTCAGTTGCCACTACATGCAAACGCTGAAAAGGGAGTTTGATATAAATTGTTGGTGACTTCTACCTTGAAACTATTTCCCATCGTTTTTCTCTCTCTAGCCATACTAAGAAGTTATGAGGAAACGATTGTCGTTTCATAGTATTATAGCAGAGTTTACATTATTATGTAAGAATTTTGTTTTAGATTAGGAGAATGTTGATTTTGGTTTTCACAAGTATTAAACCCCCCCCCCCCCAACAAAACAAAACAAGTAAGCAAGCAAAAATAACAAAATAAAAAAACTAAGGGACATTAATTATGTTGCTGTTTTATATATATATAAAATAAATCTGATCCCATTTTATATTATTTCATTCCTAAATGTAAATACAATAAGAAGAATAAATTTTTTAATGCTTTTTAAATTTGATCCGAAAAATTATATGAATTATAATTATCTATTTTACTTCAAAGACCGCTTTACAAAGCTTGTTTTATTTCAATTTGTTATAATAAACATTAATAAGCAACATGCACTCTCCCTTGTTCTAATTTCCGGTGTATGGTCACCTGACAGCAGAAGTCACGTGAGTACCACTTCCGTGTTTACAGGAGCGACTCAATAACTGATGTTTGTGTGCCTCGCGTTTCTTAAACGCTTAACTTCTGAGCAAGGTGAAGACTAAAGCAGAAACCAATATAAGAAGAATATCGACAGCGGCTTTGGCTCTACAGTAAGTTTACAGTTTTACTTTCATTCTTAAGAATTACTTAAAAAGTTGTTATAACGAAAATGTATGTCTATTTTTTATCCACATTACTATTATGCACTTATATTTTTAATATTACTCATTAAAAATATAAGTGCAGCTATTGCGCAGTGTTGTTTTTGCCACAGCATTTAGACTTACACTACAAAATCCAACATTTTTGATGGTCAAATAACCACATCACGATGAACATTGTCACTCAGCAGGTTGGTGTTGCTTGCTGCTCCCAGTCAGCTGAGACTCACGAGGTTTAAGGTGTCTGTCAAGATTAAACACACCTAGAAAATATCATCACACCTTCGATGTGTAAATAGCTGTTTGGTGTTGATGTAATCCAGCACATTGCATGTAGTGTTCTTGCAAAGTTATTTAAACCTCTTATGTTCATGAAATGGTCCGATGCTTGTTTTTTTATAGTCTGTGTACATTAATTGTGATTTATGACGCAAAACACTTTGTGGCTTTGTCTGTGAAGGGTGCTTTATAAATAAACTTAGTGTAATTTATTAAAATTTCATGTACAAAAACTAGTTGATTGTGAATAATCTGATAAATGTGGGATTAAATCTTGATAGTATTCTGATATTAATTACATTTCTTATGACCAGGGCAGATCAAAACTAAACTTTCACAAAAGTACATGAAGACACCGTATATATTTGAAGGCTGCACATCACCCTTAAACACTCCATCCTCAATGTGAAATACGGTGGTGGCAGCATCATGTCGTAGGACTACTTTCTCTTCAATTGGGATTGGCAAGTGGTCAGACTTGATGGGATGGTGGATGGGATATAATATAGGGCAATCATTGAAGAAAACATGTTACAGGCTGCTAAAGACCTGAGACAGAGAGGAAGGTTAACCTTTCAGCAGGACAACAGTTCTTAACATTCACCCAATGAAATGGTTTAGATCAAAGCAAATCAATGTGCTGGAGTTGCCCTAAAACCAACTGAGAATCTTTGACTCCTAATCTAAATGAGCCTGAGCTGTTTTCTAAGCATAAATGAAAAAAAAAAAAAAAAAACTTCCCAAGAGGTGAAAAACCAGTAGAGACAAAACCCAAAAGTATAGCAGCTGCAATTGCAGCAAAAGGTGCAAGCTCAGCTTTTTATTAGTGAAAAATGTTGATTACCATGCATTTTTCCCCTGTGCTTTGGTCTATCATACAAAATCCCAATGACAGTTTGCAGCTGAAGCCTAACAAAAGTGCAAAAAGGATTTTATGCATGTTATAGTTTTCTATTCTTATGGTTTTCTGTTTTTCTTTCATTCATGCATCATCTATATAATCAGATTTTCCTTTTTTTCCACTTCAGGAATGCATTTCGCTGTGCTCATTTTTGCCTCTGTGGCCACCATGACCACCTTCGCCCTTGACAATGGACTGATGAGAACGCCTCCAATGGGCTGGTTGGCATGGGAACGATTCCGCTGTGACATTGACTGCACAAACGACCCAAAGAACTGCATCAGGCAAGCAGGCTTTTCATAAATGAGCACGCCTAAAATAACGTTAGATAATAACCTTAGAACATTTCTTGACACAGAAGCAGCAGTCAAGCAATGTTCAATAAACAGAAATGTGTGTCTTCTAATAGTAATAGTGGATGGAAACTTTATTCAAATGCAGCATAAATTCATTAGATGTTTACAAACCGTACATCTTATTTGGGTCAGTGCTGAATGTTGCTGTCCTTCCTCCCTCCAGTGAGAATCTGTTTATAGACATGGCGGACAGACTCTACGAGGACGGCTGGAAGGAACTGGGCTACGTCTACGTGAACATAGATGACTGCTGGGCATCCATGGACAGAGACAAAGATGGACGGCTGCAGGCTGACCCTAAAAGGTATAGTTAAAAACATTATCATATCCAGGCCAATAAAACAAAAGTGGTGGCAGTGCAACCAGTTTCACAATCACTGCAAAGTGCATTTGTCTGTAGCTTTCCTGCAGGTATCTTCAAATCAGAGTCAGTAGAAGTCTGATTAAAAACAATAACCTTTGAGATCTGTGGAAAGCTGAGATAAGTGCCTGACCTACTTTTTAACAAATGGGAACATATTCCTCTCTTATGACTGTGTGATCATGACTTTAGCAACTAGCATTGTTGGTAACATGGAAAAACCTGCACTGCACAGTTTCAGCAGGTAATGTTTAATTTCCTATGTTAAAATCAGGTTTCCAGGGGGAATCAATAAGCTGGCGCGCTACATGCATGACAGAGGCCTGAAACTGGGCATCTATGGGGACATGGGCACCCACACCTGTGGGGGGTACCCCGGGACGACGGTGGATAAGATTGATATAGATGCTCAGACATTCGCTGACTGGGAGGTGGACATGTTTAAATTTGACGGCTGTTACTCCAATGCTGTCGAGCAGGAGCTGGGTAAGAAAGCATGAGTCATTAGTTTAATGGTATGAATTCGGAGGTGATTCACCATCTGACATTAATTGACCTTTATTGCTTTTCCTGGCAGGTTATCCTCTGATGTCAAAGGCTTTAAACGCAACGGGCCGCCCCATTGGCTACTCCTGCAGCTGGCCTGCTTACCAGGGTGGACTTCCACCAAAGGTGTTTAACACTGGCAAATGTTTCGAACACCGTGTTCTAGTACAATCAGGAAAAGTTTTATAGCTATATCCCTGCTTTAGACGTGTCTCTTTTCTTTGGCCTTTGAGACAATCTGAGATGTTGACTTTGTTGTCATGTATTCTGTTATTTTTACTATTACTTGTATATACTACTGCGATTATTAATTTACTGATTGATCATATTTGTATTACATGTTTGTGTACAGCACTTTGGTCCTGTGGGTGTATAACTTGCTCTATAAATATCATTGGTATGAAACGGTATAGTGGTTTAATAATAATAATGGCTATTGATGTCTCAGGTGAATTACACTCAACTCGGGCAGATCTGCAACCTCTGGCGTAACTATGGCGACATCCAGGACTCTTGGAGCAGTGTGCTGAGCATTGCTGATTGGTTTTTTGAAAACCAGGATGTCCTGGCACCTGCAGCCGGACCTGGAAGATGGAACGACCCTGACATGGTTTGTCCCACCGGCCTAATAAACTTTACTGTTTTCCGATTATTTTTCCATCCATTGTTACTTAGTGGGTTACTCAGTGCCTTGCTACATATTTAGTTAGTTTCTTAGGTATATACTAGTCACTTTTCTACTTAGTTACTCATAAGTTATTTAGTTACATTCTTATTTCTCACAAGCTTAGTTAGAAAGAAACCAGGCTGCTTCTTTGGTATTATTATTATTATTATTTTTTACTTTCTCAATCCAAACATACTTAGTGAGTGATTGTTAATTTGTTACTTATATCTAAACTTACCTGTTTAAGTATTACTTACTGAATGACTTGGTTACTTATTTCCCTGATTACTTAGTTACTTTATTAACAAGTTCTTTGGGTAGTTACTTCCAGACTTTGGTTTTTGTTATTTTAGTATTTAAGGCTTAACTACAGTGGGAATAGCCACATTAAACATATTTTCATATTTCCAGCTTTTTGTATTTATACTTCAAACTTTGAGTAAAAGAGCCATGGGAACTCTTGAAAGCTGGAGTCCAGAAACGTGTTGTTCACTGAAATGTCTAGGAACTCAGTGTGTCTATTTATGATGCGGTCAGGCTCATAATGACAGGTAGGCACG